TTTTCTTTTTTAAAAATTTTTTGAATGTTTATTTTTGAGAGAGAGACAGTACGTGAGTGGGGGAGGGGCAGAGAGCAAGGAAGACACAGAATCTAAAGCAGGCTCCAGGCTCTGAGCTGTCAGCACAGAGCCCGACATGGGCTTGAACTCACAAGCCCATGACCTGAGATCATGACCTGAGCTGCGGTCGCCCAACCAACTGAGCCATCCAGGCGCCCTGAGTTTTCTAAGCCTCAGTTTCCAATTCCTAAATAAGAATAACAACAGCCCAGGAATAAGGCTACTGCGAGGATCAAATTAGATGTAAGTGTTTAGCACAGTGACTAGGACATGACGAACACTCTACAAATGTAGCTGTCATCATTGATGACATTTTTCTCCAAGATTTTAATCTATTAAATAGTTACCTTATTGACAGGAACAATGTTTTTGACATTGTAGTAGAAGCCAAAATAAACCATGTTGAAAACCCCATGACGTCCCAAAGTTGCTGTAAATCCTTTGTTGAGGCCCTGGAGTCCCAAGCCTTCCTTCTTAATGATGTGTCTTGCATAACTCATAGTGGATGGTTGCTGTAGGAGAGAGGAGGAAAGCCAGAAAGATCATCTTTGAGACCGTGAAATAGAGTAAATTACCATTTTAGCTTCCCTTCAAGCCAAAACTATTAGGGACGATTTTTGTCTCCAACATGCATAATCATGCCTAGATCCATGCTTTTAAAATTAGGAAGCCCAAAAAGTAAACAAAATTGCATGCATACAGGTCTGAAAGGGAAGATTTCTGGCAAAAACCAAAAACAAAAAACCCACATCTTTGTTGGAATTAGTGAAACTAAGGTCATGTAATACCTATCATCACTACCTACATGTAAATAGCTGTATCCAATTCTGGATTATCCAAAGTAATGGAGGGGATTAGCCATACAGATAAACTGGTAATCCGTAACTGTGCATAATCCAAAAGGAATTTATATTTGGTTCTTGAATCCAGCATATTTACTTTTCTAATTATGTTTTTCTAAAGTGAATGTTACAATTAATCTTGACTCCATTGGCTCAATAGTTTAAAGTGGCACCAGGTTAGAAATCGGGCATGGATAAATTGCAGTTGTTTGTAGACTTCTTCAAGAGGGTGCGCAATCAGTGTGTATCACTCACTGTGATAAATGATGAGTCAGTGGTGCTGGGAGTAGTGGGTTACCTTTAATTTACTTCCTTCCACTCTTCCGATAGATTACCCGACCCTAAAATACCCTGATTGCTGAACTCCAGTCTATTGGTACTTTTGGAACATGCTACAGAGCTCACTGTAGCTTGCCCTGAGGTTTATAATTCATTAC